TTTTCAGAAAGATAATATGTGAACATACTTTGAAAGTTACCTATCTCTAAACACACTTAGTAAAATGTTCTACCCTTCTGAAATACTTATTAAAATGTTCAGGATACATTATAGAGGGTATCAAAACGTGTTTATCTTAAGGACATTTTATTAACAAACATTTGACTGTGTATTCTGAGCTGAATTCAGGGGACACAGATGAATAAAACACCATTCTTTGCTGCCTTATTTAGGACACAAACCCATGGGCGGTGAGTGCTGTTTTATAAATACACTCAGTACCTATAGAGGCCAGAGGAAGGGCATGTGGGGTGGGGATAGCAGAGTGAGCCGGCAGAATGCTTCTTGGAGGTGTCATCACAATGAGCTACCAAAGGCAGGCATTCTGGCTGAGGGGTCAGCATAAGCAAAGGCAGAGAAATGGAGAAAATGGTACAGTGTGTCTGTGTGCATGTGTGTAGATGAGGCAGAGCAAGTCAGTGATGCTGGCACAGAAAATGAAGGACAAGACACGAGACTCTCTGTGTTGCATGGGCCAGATCAGGGAGGTTTGTGTAGGTTAGGCTGGATTCTGAACGTCAGCCCGTCGGCTAAAAGGAGGAGCACTAAATGCTTTAAGCAGGGCACTGAAAAATGACTAGATTTTGCTACAATACTCTGGTAGCAGAGTGGGAGGGAGAGGGGGCTAAGGATAGGAAATCTACTTACTTTAAATATTGCTTCACAAAGAGATTAGCCTGAAATGGGGGCTGGAGAGAAGACAGGATATAACATTATTTAATAGGTAAATCAATAGAACTGTGAAGTTGATTACATGTGTGGGGTAATGGAGAGGGAAGTCTCACCTCAGCGGGTGGTCAACCCCTTCTCTCCCCACCCCCGCAATGAGGCAGGCACACAGGAGGAATATGATGTTTGGATCTGTTGCATTTGAGTAGGTATCTGGATGGCAATGTATCGCAGACAGGGAAATTCAGAGGTCTGGGCTAGAGATCTGAATGGGTGGAGGCTTTAGTCGATAGGTGAGAGCCCCAGACCATGTGTATACAGAGCTACCTAGTATCCTCATTTAAATGTTTCAAGGGTATCTTAAATCTTAGTATAGGAATTGTGCTCTTTCTCTCCCCGCAAAGCTGGTCTCCTTCTAGTGTTCTCTCTCAGTAAGAGGCATTACCATTCATATACTAGTAGTTGCACAAAGTAAAATATAGGAGTCATCTTTGACACTTCTCCCTCTCATTCTCTAATTATTTGAACCGAAGGAATACCTTAAAAAGGCAAGTCTGGAAATATGCCATTATTGGAAGCACACAGTCAAGTTTAACATTTCACTAATAGAGCTAAACTTTATTTCCATGTTTATGAAATGTTTATCTATGACGCTGAATACATATATTAGAATTGACTTAACATACAGCTTTGGAGAAAAATTGACATTCTCCACTGAATGGGTTAAAAAGGAATGTAAAACTACAAAATACTTGTTTAAGTGTTTAATTCTAAATTATGGCAAACAGAACAATAAATACCTTGCCATTTTTCCTTTTTCTAGTTTTCCAAATGATAAAATATTTTTTATAACAGTTTATTGCAATAAAGGAAATAAGGGGTAATCACGAAAACCACTTTAACTATATAGTACAAATAAAGAGACTTAATACAGAACACCTATCTCCTATTTAAAATACAAATACTTTATATTATGAATTGAGAGGGATTAACCAATGTCAGCTGCACATCTAATGACTTAAGGAAAGCCATACATGCCACTTGCTTTTGTCTGGAACAGTTAGGCTGATTTAAAGGGCAGCACAGCAGAGTTCTATCTGGTACCTATGCTAACCATTGTTATTCAGAGTGGTGCTTATTGATGGAAATTCAGGGTTAATCAGTTCCAAATGAGTAAGAGTGAACAGAATTAATCATCCCACCCCGCAATCTATGGCCATATCCAAATGTACAGATTTTAGCATTCTCTGAAAGTCTTAAAATTCCTCTAGGTACTCTGAAATTGCTGATATTCACAGTACAAAAAGAATATTGCCTTTAGTTCAATTCCAGTGTTTAAAAAAATTAAATCAAACTTACAGGTGGTATCAGTTATTTGTAATATAGTTCTTTTAATTCTTTATAAGCCCCTTAGAGCACATTTTGTGAAAAGATGCGTTCTTTTTAATAATACTAATCTTTACTTAGATACATTTAAAAATCATCTTAAAATTATTTTCTACCAGAAATTACAGGATGAAAACTTTTACTGAAAGTGAATAAAACTTATTATTCTCATTAAACAAGTGTTTAGAATCATCTGCAAAAACCTATAATTTTAATGTTATAAAAGATGTTTAATAAAGGTAACTCACCGCTCATTAGATTATTTTAAGAAAATACTAATAAAATACTTTCTCATGTAATTGTTCAGGAAGAAAATTTATGGCTTTTCAATTTTTAAAATTTCACATTTAATCAGATTCTTAAATGAGAAAAGAAAGGACGAGAAACAAACTCCATTATCAACTTAACCTCCTACCTTCCCTGAAAGTCAACATTTCTCTTAAAATTGAAGGCACAGTCCTAAAGGGCCAGATAAACATTTCAGGTTTCTGGGCCATGTGGTCACTATTGCAACTACTCTTCTGCTGCTGTCTGGGAAGGCAGCCATAGACAAGATGTTATTTAACAACAACAAAAAAGCAGTCCAAATGTGGCCTGTGGGCTTTAGTTGTCAACCTCTCACTGCCTTAAAAGAGCAGACCTAGCCCGGCCGGCGTGGCTCAGCGCTTGAGCGTCGACCTAGGAACCAGGAGGTCAGGGTTCGATTCCCGGTCAGGGCACATGCCTGGGTTGCGGGCTCGATCCCCGATGTGGGGCGTGCAGGAGGCAGCCCATCCATGATTCTCTCTCATCATGGATGTTTCTATCTCTCTCCCTCTCTCTTTCTCGCCCTCTCTGAAATCAATAAAAAATATTTAAAAAAAAAGAAAAAAAAAGAGCAGACCTAAATATAAACAAATCATCTACAAAACAAAAAAAACCCACCAAAACAAATGGTCGGTCTCCAGTCAGATGTGATGACTGACTCAGAGTCTGGCAGTTAATCACTCTAAAACAGTGGTTCTCAACCTTCCTAATGCTGCAACCCTTTAATACAGTTCCTCATGTTGTGGTGACCCCCAATTTCATTGTTACAAATTGAACATAATTAAAACATAGTGATTAATCACAAAAACAATATGTAATTATATGTGTGTTTTCTGGTGGTCTTAGGCGACCCCTGTGAAAGGGTCATTTGACCCCCAAAGGGGTCGGCGACCCACAGGTTGAGAACCGCTGCTCTAGAACATGTTGATGCTGAATACTTTGAATTTAGCCCATTTTCTTGTTTTGGTTAAGATTCTTCTATTTAAACTCATGTCATCATGCTTTTGACTGGGGATAATTCATCTTCATTTAAGAACTTGCTGGAATATTATTTATTTAGGAATTCAGTTTAAAATAAATGATGTCCATACAATTTAATATTCAATTTAATTTTAAAAAAACTTAATGAAAATATAACAGAATCAAAAAGTTTAAAATAAGTACACTCACTACCCATTCCAGTATTAAGTCATATCAACTATAGAATAGGAAAAATAAATTCAGACGTGTACTTTAAAATACACTACTTCCACTTCTGTCAATATTTCACATTTACGTATATATTCTATAGCGGAAGCAGAAATTCTTTCTAAAAACATTATCTCCTTAAAATCTTGAGGTGCATATTATAGCCACAGGCAATATCTGACATATAAAACTGCAGTACAGGCCTTTCAAATTTGGCATTTCACTGGTACAATACAATGACCAATATATATAATCACTGTACAGTGCCTAGACATTCCAGTAAGAACCATTATTTTCTTTAATGTAGAATGATTAATATATATTCTACAAGGGGGCAGTGAGGTTAGTAATTCTATAGGGTGTGTCCGGACATAATTTTAAAATTGTACAATAACACAAACAACTTTGTTAAGGCCATGTTTTATTTGCTGATTAATGGACAAAAGGCAATGTAATTTATCTTCAAGTATTTTCTTGAAAGTCTGTGCTCATAAAAATCATGAAAAGTTGGAAAGACTGTTAAATCACTGAAACATTAAATATATCGTACACAATCTTGTTTGTACAAAAATACAAGTTAAATATAAACATAAAGCAATCATGACAACTTTATGCAAATCTGTTTTATGTGATCTTTAGTTATATATAAAAGTTTCTCAGTTCTGTTGAGAAAAGATCAATACCAGATTAAATTACTATCTATTGGCAAAGGGCCCTAAAAAGCTTACTTTAGCATTAATCTTTGATGTGGTCAAGTGCATTGCCTAATTAAAATCACCTAAACACTGGGGAGAAAAAAGAAAGGGCAGTATGTCCATAAACCAACAAATAATTTGGCTGTAATGTATCATAAAACAAAGAAACCCCACACATCTGTACAATGAACATTATGTATCACACACTCACCCACACCGGTGTATAGGTGCGTGCATGTACATGCACACACAGAGGCAAGGACACACACCCAGTCATAAAACAAAGCCTAATGAGGTGCTACTTCCAGTTCAATATTCAGCTTTGCATTTTTTCTTACTTCATCAAATGAATAGCTTTTTGTCACCTTCCCATTCTTGAAGACAGTATGGAGAAGATCCTGCACAAATTTAACAATACTAAAGTTTAATGATTATACTCTCAAGCAAAATACTTAAGCCATGCTCATGAATTAGACTGACTAGTCAAATACAGAGATGTTGATGGTGTTCAATTATGAAATAATTTTATACACAAAGGATGCTGGTGGAGCAGTCAGACAGCAAGGCACTATCTAAAATGGCTATGTAGAAATATTTAACTTTTATGAACAGGAATGATCTAAATACTACATTCTTAAAAAAGTTGACCTTGAAGGATAAACCAAAACACTTAGATGCCCCATTTTTTTTTTTCAGGTGGAAGATGCATTGCCTAGAACGATGGCTGTTGATAATTACCATTGACGGTGCAACAAAGGAAATCTTCCCTTGTTCCTACCCAACAAGCTCAACACCAGGTTAATAAATGCATAAGCCTGGAGTTTAATAAAAACAAAAACAATTATTATTTCTAAGCTAATGCACAGTGACTGATTTTTATTTTGTGTATATCCAAAAGTCACTGATACAAGTAACCTATTTGATCCCGGCAAGGGTAGCAAAGATAGACTAAGAAATCAGTACTAAATTCCCTTTTGAGTTTGGGAAAGCCACTCCTGTCTCACGAAGGAATTATCTATCTCTAATTTCTCTTTTAAAAATCTGTAAGTAATCTACCATGCTTAACTTTTCCATTTATTCTTAAGATTGTGATACATAACATTATCTAATATTTTCGTGATACGTAACATCTAATATTTTCGTCATGTTTCAAATCACACTGCTCTAGTTGTATCTTTCATAAAGTTAAACAATCTATAAAAAATGGTGGTTCTTATTCTTAAATCAAAATGCTTAATTTTAAGTTAATTACTACCTTAAATATTCTAGAATTCACATACTCTTAAAAATCAATGCCTTTTAAAAAATAAGTTATGATGATGCCTTTAAAAAAATAAGTTATGACTGTCTACAGTAATTCAGCAAAGTCCTGGTAGCTATAAGAGTTAAGTGAAGGCTACTCAAAGGACAGTATTAACAGGCTATATAAAGGAATCTAATTCTAAAAGTTCATTTAGAAACATATTTTTTTAATTAAAGGTAACAAAATGATTTTTCATTCTGGCTCAAAATCATAAAAGTAACAAGCAGAATATCAGATATGGTATAATGAATCTCAAGTACTAAATTAGTGTGCTTACATTTAATATAAACTTTTCTGTGAAAATATAAGTATTCATTAGTTTCCCTAAAAAAAATGAATGTTTTTAATCCAGTGGGTTAAGAATTAGAAATTTTATAACTTTTGAGTTCACAAATTTAAATGTACTTTTGTATATTAAAGATCATATGGACTCCTTTAGCATAAGCATACTACACATTTTTCCTATTTGGTTGACCTGAATCAGAAAACTTGGTTAAGGCTAGGTTTCGCCATTTATTCGTTATGTAATCTGAATCAGTCATGTAGTTTTCACATTTGACACTACTAAGATAACATAATTTGCCTTTTTAGCCCATGGAGTTGCCCTGAGAATCAAATGAGACTAAAGAAAACCATCTAAATTGGATTCTATTTTTTAAAATGGGATTATCTTTAGCATGTTAGAATTTGGATAAAATAAAAGCCCTTCTTTTTTCTGTTAAAATGACCAAAGTTTAATATAATATAAATAGCTATGAGAAGTGTAATAATAATATCCTTTTTTTTATTTTGGTAGAAAATATATGAATAACAGCAAGGAAAAAGTCTTAACAGGAAGTATGTGTCTTCCCTTGGTCTCAGGAATCTGTTTCAACAAAGAAGGGTTTTCTTTCTACCCCTCTCTGGGCTGGGAAACAAATTTGACCCCGCAGGAGGCACTTTACCATTTGGGCCAAAAATATGGAACGCTTCACGAATTTTCGTGTCATCCTTGCGCAGGGGCCATGCTTATCTTCTCTGTATCGTTCCAATTTTAGTATATGTGCTGCTGAAGCAAGCACATAATAATAATATCCTTAAAGTATTCTTAATACGCCTCTTCAGAAAAAATTGACTGCTAATTGACAGTAAGAGTAAGATAAAAAACACAGCTTGTTGAAGCTCAGCAGTAACTACCCTGCTGGTCACTATTTGGAAACACTTTTACTTTTTAAATGTTACAAAATATTTCACCCAATATGTACAAGTCTCATATTTATGATTTAGCCACTTTTTGTTTTTCGTCTTATTTCGGCAGGCTCAGTCAACTATTGTTTATTTTACAATAAAACTACTTTATCCTCCAAGAAAAAACTGTTCTGAAAATTTAAAATTAAAATACAACATAAAAGCCTCCTTTCTTAATTAGGAGAGCCAAGCTACTACTGGTAAAAGGAAAACAAAAAAAGGGGGGGAGGGGCACAAAAGAAATCCAATCAGCATAGATACATACATGACCGTATTCCTCAAGGTCTCCTTTTCCTTCCTCAAGTGTAACAAAATTTCCTGCTGGTGTTTTATGTAAAGATAATCGACCTTTCTTAGACCTTTTGTTGGGATCAGCAACTGGGTCTTTGAAGACATTAACCTTGAATCCAAATTCAGAAAGAAAAAAGATTAATCGTCAGAAATGGTCATTCATTTCCTATTAAAAAGTAACCCTATATACATAATTTGCAAATAAATTTTAAGGCAATTTTTAGGTGTAATGAAACCAATCCACTCCAGGCTTTTAGAAACATAATTCTAACCTGTTTTGGAGGACAGAGTGAGTTCTTTGTTAGGAAAAAAGCAAAATCCAAATCTTGACTATTTTTTCTTACCAATGCCGAATACCTAATACTCCTTTTGTAGGAAATATTTGATGTTAACATGTGATCCTTAAGGTATCTCCTTTTATATCACACCTTATCTTTATACTGATCTAAGTATAGCACAGACATGCTATTGAAAAACAAATCTACGTCAACTCAATTATATAATCTGTGGCTCCAGAACTAGGATTTTACTAAGTATGGCTTTCCTATTTCATAACCTTTGCATTTTGTTACTTTTTACTCTATTATATTGTTACTGTCAGAAGCAAATTGATCTAGAGAACCTCAAGAGCAGAATGTTTGTTTCAGGATCAGAAAGGTAGGAGGCAAAACCTAAGAAGCAGATGGGTCAATCCCATAACTCTCCAAAGAAAGATGGAGGTAAATAAAGCAGGGGACCTAACCAGGTGTTCTCAGGAGAGTATTCTCCACCCTCACCCTTTGACCCACAGACTCTCAAGAGCTATGAAGCCTAGGGCAGTGGCCGGCAAACTGTGGCTCGCGAGCCACAGTGTGGCCATGAAGTTTCAATCACACTGTATGTGGTATTTTGTGGAAGAGCCACACTCAAGGGGCCACAGTTTGCCGACCACTGGCCTAGGGGGATTGTTGTTCAGTTGCCGAGCAGCCTGGGTTTCCCTATTCTAAGGCTACTAGAACATGATTCTGGTGTCACAACTCCAGTATCATACTCTACTTTCCTAAAATACTGTTTTGATAGTGTTTACATGCTTATCATTCATATACGATGGCTAGGTTAGCTGATGTTCCAGATCAAATATGGTCAACTTTTTGATTCAAAGTTATATACAGAAGCAGTGGAAAATGACTGACCTGCATTATCTTTTAATCTCTCATCTTATTTTTTCTGGTCTTGTTATTATCTAATGTCTCTTTCCCTTTTTTTCAGCCAGAGTCAGTAATAACTGATAATATATTAATGCTTCAGGACCATTATTATCCTTTATTATTGCATTCAATAACTGCATTCTACCTAGATACATAAAGAAGGTACTAACACAGGAGTAAAAGTTAAAAGACATACCCCAAGGCCATTGGTTACAACATAGCTACATTTAAAGGAACAATTCAAAAGATCTCTTGTTAATTTTTGTAGCAAAGCTCCACCAGAACCAAAGGCAATATTTTCAATACTCCATTTTTTTTGCTTCATGCCTTCTACAACCTAGAATATTAAAAAATAAAAACAAAAACTAAGTAAACTGGAAAAGAAATGAGGTAATTTTCCTTGAGTCATATTGATGAATAAAGCATCCTAAAGTTGTATTATAACATAGTGAATGATGAAATTAAGAGTAGGCCTATACAAAACTATATCCCACATTTTCTTTTAAAAGCCCCAAATACCCCAAAAAGGACAAACTGAGGGATAAGTGTGGAAGGAATGGATTTCATTCATAGTCCCTGAATTTGTGTTGTTGTCATCATTGTAACTGTGGTTAGGGTTGGGGAAATGAGAGAAAAAAATTGGCTATACATGCTATTGAAAAGGTTACTTGAGTAAACTTACCTGTCTCCTGTAGTTGTTGCCCAGATACCAGTAGCACAAGCAATGGGACCTAGACATTTGCCCTGAATTTCTACACTCTAGGAATGACTAATCACTCCTAATAAATCTCAATACATGTTATCACATGTCATAATGCATATCATATCTAATGGGGCATTTAAATAAAGCAACAGGTATTGGTGGTAAAACAATATAAAATACTCTCTGCTACATATCATTCAGACATTGGCAGAGTTATTTTACTCTGGCTAGAACTCCAGTGCCCTAAGCAAAATTATGAATAGACTAGGCATTCATTTATCATTGGATCACTTTTGGCAGAATGATGATCTACAAGCCAGAGAGACCTGAATGAACATATAGTTCTGGCAGCTAAAGTAGTTTTTTCAAGTGACACATAATTTTAAAGTTATATTAATTTATTAAGCTACATTATTATTGTCATTTATATTTCTTTTTCCCAAGTAGGATTTATTTACCTAGCATGTCTATTTGTAATAGAAGGGTGCAAGTGCAATTTAATTTCATGAGATGAGTCAAAAGGAAGTATTGGAAAATCTGGTTCCATTTTACTGAAATAGAACTTTCAGAAACGATTAGAAAACCATAAGCAAATTTAATAGTTTTATGTAAATCATAAATATCAATTCGCCATATTCCCCTCAAATACTAAGAGTCTTGACCTGACATCTATTATTTTCAACTCTGAATGATAAAAGTATATAAACTCCAAGGACCTTCAACTTTTAACAATCTCACATTTAAAAAGGCAGACTTTTTCCTTAAATCCCAACCATCAAATTCTATTGCTATATGTCAGGAATCACTATGAAAACATACACAATTTATTTTAAAGCAATTCCTTGGCTATACATAAACTCAGTCTCATGTCTATTATATCAGAACCCAACAGTATACTAAGGTTCTGGATTCAGATTTTTCATTGAAATAACTGAACAAAGTATAACTAAAACAATAATAAAATCCTTATAAAATAATACAAAATTAAGACATATTCCAAAAGAGTGGATTTCAATATGGGAGAAATGCAAAGAGTAGAAAAGAAACAGATAGATGGAGGATAAGGTGGTTTAGTTAAAAACGCATCACCCTAGCCAGTGAGCAGTGGTTAGAGCACTGGCCAGAGCACCCAAGAGTCTTGAGTTCCA